ACCCCCTCGTCCCTGTCGTCCCTCTCTCTCTCTCTCTCTCTCTCTCTCTCTCTCTCTCTCTCTCTCTCTCTCTCTCTCTCTCTCCTTCTCTCTCTATCGTTCGTATACGTCTCTCCGTCGCGTCGCGTCGCGTCGCTGGCAACGCTGGCCCCATCTCTACAACCATGTTCTCGTAGAGTCGATCGTCGAACAGTTAATGCTCGCATAATACGTGCACGCCGCGGCTGCCGCAACGGGGGGAACGGGTATTGTTGCTAGTTTACGTTTACCGTTATTTCGTTGCAGTTGACAGAAATTCCTCAAAGCGCAAAGGTGACCGTACTATCGGCGAATCTGCCGCGTTTTCACACAAAAATCACATCCTTCCGCCATCTCGGGCCGTTGACCTCTCAGGCGAGTTCGCGCGCGCGTGTTTGAAGCATAAATTCGCCAAGAACAAAGTTTTATAGAGGAGGAAGACTTGCTCCCGTTAAGAAGAGGAGAAAGATATATATTAAATACGCGACGGAGCAACGTTTGAAGATTGAAACACGCATAGGCTAAAGATAGAACTTTTTTTTTTTTCTCTTTAGAGGAAGCACGTTCCTGTTCTTTCTCTTTACAAAACCCATCTCACCCTCGATACCAGCGATCAAACTGATCGGGATATCAACAAGCGAAAAAATCGGTGGAGGTATGCGGCGATTTGAATCTAGAGAAGCACGTCTAATTACCGAGGCGGCGCAGATGGAGGCGGATTAAAACGTAAACGTCAAAAAGAGGATGGTAGGGGAGGAGCGAGGCGAGGGCAACGTATCCGCGCAACGGGCCGCGAACTCTTTACACACAATTACGAAGCGCACGCAGGTGAGCCGACGAGAGAAATATTGCGCCGTGGCGGATGTGTCGTGGCCTGTCGGTGGATAGAGGCTGCAGTGCACGCGCAGCGCATGCATGCAGTTTACCGGTACCAGTGGTAATATCGCATCGCGAACAGCCAGCTGAGAAGAGAAGAGAAGAGAAGAGAAGAGAAGAGTAGAGAAGAGAAGAGGAGGATGGGCCGAGATTAGTTCCGATTGCCTGTGCCGCGCGCAGAGTTATAGAAGGGTTGCCCGGCTTCGGCCAGGCATCGATCCCAACCGGCTACCGGCTTCAGCCCGTTAATGAGTCATGTTTAATTGGCGTGGGAAGCCCGCGGCTACGTCCGCCTAACGGAATTGAACTGTATCCGATGCAACAGCGCTTCCAACGACGTAAATACACCAGCGTGCCGCCGATTGACCTTACGTACACGTCCGGACATCGGATGGCAAATAATCCAACGAAAGAATTCTTAATGAGCAGTAAAATCGCGCAGCTGATTAATCGATCACCAGGCAGATGCACTTGCATTTACGTTCGCGACTTGGGGTCGCAATTATCTCGCGTGGATGCCTGTTCGCGCATTTACGTGCGAAAAAATGTGGTGAAACACAGGTTCGTAATCTGATCGTTTCCAGATCTGTTGGGAGGAATTACAAATCTCGCTCGTATACACGTGTACACGTGACGTAATTAAACTCGAGGGACGTTAAATACTCGAGCAGCGTGTTCTTTCCAAAGTGTTTCATCACGTAGCCACTTGGCAGGTGTCGCGTGCATATTCCGGGCACGGCTTGGCCTGGATGCTGCTTTTCAGAGCAAGAAGCTACAGTTTTACGGTTACCTCGACGACAGCCAGCCATTCGCCGTCATCCAATCGCGATTTCTCAGCGCGGCGACGATTCAACGCGAGGCATTCGCCAGTGCCTCCGGACCGACGACAACGACGACGAGGACGACGTCGACGACAGTGTCTCGCGGCAGATGGTACGCGACAGGCCATTTCAAACGATTACTGTTACACGCCAGAGACTCCTCTCTCGGCTCTCTGTTAGCCAGACACATGGTATACCGGTATGCAAATAAATGGCATCGAGCGGACGCGTTTAAAAAACATACAATACGCTAGCGATACGCGGCAAACGACGACGCGTGCTACGAGCCATTGTCTCCGGAGTCTAATCACGACCGCGCGTGCATTTACGAGCCACCGGTTAGACGGACGTGTAGCCTCCGGAGAAAGACTACCTTTTGCGAGAGAGGCGGTTCTCGTATTCTCCGGCGTATTCCACCACGCGGCGATAGCAACAGCAATATGCATCGCGAATACCAACACGCAGTCACACCCATCATAGGAGCCCGACCCTGTGGGTGGCGCCACGTACTCGCAAATAAGTCCTACGAATAAGTCGTAAGGCCATCATCCGCGTTGCGTCCCCGTCGCGACCGGCTATGAACATTCTCTCCTACGGCTAGGCATAATGCGCCCCCTCCGCGCCTCCATTCCCCTTTCGTACCTCGTAATCTAACCACCCCGGCGATTTTACAAACGCGTAACGACGCGTTAAATTCACTTTGATTCGAGGACTCGTTAAATCTCACCCTGCCACCTCGCCCCGGAACTCTCGCGTCGTCGGATTAACACGCTCTTTGCCTCTCATAAAATTAGAAGGGAGAGTCGTATACCTGAATTTTTATAGTAATGAAATATCGAAATATTCTCCTCTGATAAAATAAATAAATAAATATATATGTATCAAACGATCCGATTTTTATTCGCGAAATTCTTTAGTTCGACGTGCTGCAATCAGTGACCACCAGAGTTGTATCGAGGAGACACGCGCCTGTCATCGACGACCACCGTGACACTCGGCCGGTTATCGCTAACGTCGAGTTCTCGAAACTTTGATCTTTAACACGTTAACTGTCACGCCGAACCCTAGGAGGCTTTTATTTTAAAGTCTAAGCAAACGTCGATTATCCGGCGTCATATTCGACTTTTACCGCTGTTTCAACCTACGGAATTTAACAATTTCGAATGAGTATTGACTACTAACTACGTTTCACACAGATTTCGTCAATTCTGTAGTGATCTGCGATTTCCAAACTTCGAATTCAATATTTTGATATATTTGAACGAGCATCGTCTACTACTGTCGTCAGTTTCCATAACGTCTCGCGATTTCCATTGCAATTTGTGTTTGCCTCGACTTTAAAGCAAAAGTCAATCGTCGATTCCCGGGGACTCGCGTGGCAGTTGACGTGTCAATTACGCATTCGTCACGCGCGAATTCCAACCGCCGACGATTATCGGGACGCGGAAAGAAAGAAGAAAAAAAAAGGAAAGAGACGAAGCTGCGAGTGAAATCGCGGGCAAAAAAGTGTCAAGGTGTCTGGTTGGCGAGGTTCATTGGCGCGTCGCAAGTCCTTGTACGATCACGTAGCTAAATCGACACCTTGCCTCGCGGTCTACGCCGCTAATCGTCCTTCCGGCAGTGACGTGGCGCGCGGCATACCGCCGTTCTTGCTAACAACCCTGACGTATCCCTATTAGTAGCCCGTGTGTATAAATGTAGACGACTTGGCCTGGTGTTGTCGACACACGAGGCCGACATCGTGATTTGGGTGCCATCACGTACCGCGCGGAATCGAGCGGGTTTCCATTCGCGGCCAATCGACACGCGCTTCCCCGCGGTTCGATACCGATCGCTGATCGCGATCGCTAAGCTTCGCGTAAACAAAACGGAGAAGACAGCCTGCAACTGCGTGCCTAACTGGAGGAAAATGTTCGACAAACGCAGGTTCGTGAGAAGATTGAAGCGTGAAAAGTGTATGGGTATTGAACTTGCGGCGTAATGCGACGCGTAAAGTTGCCGGTTCTCGCGAACCTACGGTCGCAATTAACGCGATGAGTCGATCACGTATCAGATTCGACGCGCGCAACTTGAGAAAGTTCCAGGACCACGGGTGTTTATCGCGCGCGAGACGATCGAGGGAGCGAACATTGCGCTCTTAGTGAAGCAGTCTCGTTAAAAATGAAACAAACCGTTTCGTTTACACTTACTGCAAATTGAATCAACCTCGCGACGGATCAAGAACATTGCGACGAACATAGCAACTTGAAGAGTAAAAAAGGAGAACCTCGCGTCGAACGCGATACGAGTTTTGTTATAATTTATAATTTACGAGTTTCAATGTTGCAAACGTTTTTAACAGCAGTTTAACCAGTTGTGTTAATTCGAACTGATGCGAATCTAGGATTAGATTCTTAGACACGCTCGGAGAAACAATATTCTCGGATTTATCAAGACCTTTGTTGCTACGAGGAACAATCAAAAAGTAAGTTTCACTCCTGTTAAACACAATGAATTACCTATTTCTTTAAATTAAATGTTTATTTGTTTCGTGGAATTTACAGTGTATCAGCTATTCTTCTACGCAATCCCCATTAGTTTTGCTTCTAAAGTATGTCTTATAATTTCTACAATAGTGCAAAAATGTGTAACAATTATCAAGAAAAGTGTCTAGAGTTTAAAATGCATCACAGAACAAAGCAATAAATTTAATTTTAAGGTGTTACTTTAACAAACAATTTCTTGACGTCAAAATTAATTTAAAATAAAACATTTTGTTCTCAATGTGTTTAGCATTATTGTTCATGTACTAAATGACAATAATTTATTACATATAAATTATATAATACTACACTTGGAACACTTGTTACATAAATTATATAATACTATGCAATAATACTAAATACTAATAAATAATATTTACTTATTTTGATAACAAATTTTATCAGCGTCTTCTTAAATTCTGTTGATCTTAACAATCGTCACGTCGAAGGGGGAAAATTGGGTTAATGCATGACTTTATAAATTTTTAAAAAATTCTTCGTTTCTACAATGAAAATTCCAAATAACTTGAGCGGAAAGTTCACTGTGTCACGGAACGCACCCAAAAGTTACAAGCGAGTGAAACTTACTTTCTGACTGTCCCTCGTACAAAATCCTGCAAAATTTTCAAAGGACGGACTGGACGATGTGTCGTCGCGATACATTGCATCTTTCAACGTTATCGTTGCTCGAAACCGAAAACTACACCGCCTGTTTATACGGGCGAGGAAAGTCGGCGTAAAATTGTAAGAAAAGCAAACGTACCTCCCTAGACGTTGGTGCCCCCAGGACGCAGGGGCTGTCCGGGCGGCGGGGCGCACTGGCCCACCGCTTGCTCGAGAGCTCGCTCTCATCCTGAAACAATAAACGTGACCTGTAATTAGACAAGACGAAGGTAAAGGTGATAGACGGTCAGGCGTGATGAGCGCTATTACAGCAATCGTAATGGGCCCCTTGGAAATCAAATTGCTCCCCGCAGAAAATTAGCTAGGGAACAATGGAGGGAAACTGAAGAGCTTGCCATCCTGTGTCTTGTGCGCGAAAATCCAACAATTTTGCGCCAGCGAAAATACGTGCCGGGCAAGTTCCAAGTTAACGGAAGTGTCCTCGCGTATCGGTCTATATCGCACCAGACTATAGAATACGGAGAATGCAAATTCATCGACGACTGAGAATGAAACTTGTTTACGAAGGAGTTCAAAGTGCAAGAAACAAAAGAAAAGATAATATAGGAGTGGTATTGATGTAACCTAAATTTTGGTAAAAAAATCGTTCAAGCATAGATGCGAAACTATAAAATTTTCACGAAGAAATCAGGTTACCTTGTTGTCCAACGATGATTCTCTCCCTTTTTAACAACAACTCCATTAACGATACGAGTTGGCAAATGTGTCTAAAATGAAAAATATTTCGTTGACTCTTGGAAATTATTCGCAATTGCGAATCACTCGAACACTAAATTACAAAAAAGTGGTATGACTATTTATGGTGAAAATTACTCAAATGATTAGAATTCTTATACAATTATTCCAATTTTGGTTATAGAACGTGAGCCGCGTGAATAGTCTAAGGACCGCGGATTGGGCACGCCTGGTCGAAAGGATACACGCTAGAGAAAGTTCTGCCGTTCGTCGATTTCCCGATTAAAGTTGTCGATCGCTTCTTTCGCGTTTATGACGTGCAGACAAACCTTACGTAAACGAAATCTGAAAGCTTGTAGAACGTCTGCGCGTTTGCCTCGGACAAATAAAGTGGACTAATAAAGTTGTCTCGTTGGAAGGAAAATCGAACGTTATCCTTTTCATATGTGTACATACAACTACCCATATGAGTATAAACGTTGCACGCCTCACCTCACCGCCGTATGACAAATTGCAAAATATTATACCGAGCCTTCTATAAAATTAGATGAAACAGATTCGACTTTCCTTACGTAACGAGCCGCGCCTTGTCATTTAATTAACAAACGTTATCTAAAAGCCTGGGTGTGCAATCTACGAACGTCTCTGTTTACGATTAAAAGGCAATCGAACCCGGGAGCCGATCGTAAAATCAGAGAGGGAACGAGCGACAGGTCGGGTGGCTGACAGGGTGACACGTACGCACACATCGCGCACGTTTCGTTATTTATTCACTTACTTGCCCGTATTCTAGCAGCCCGATGCGTTATTATCCCCTTGCTATTATTACATATTGCATTATTACGCGGCAATTGCAACAGGCTCGGCGATGTTACGTTTACTTTCGCTAGATTTCTCCTATTTTCCGTAATGCGACGAGATTACCAGTTGAAATTGAATCGGCTCCTTTTAGACACGTTGGTAACGATCCAAATATAGACTGGCGCTCCTCGCTCCAGACGCGTCGATTATGCTTGCAAAAAAAAAAAAAAAAAAAATATACACATATATATATCCAACCACCTCGGCGAATCCTAGTTTCCACGTCGGAGATCGATAAAACAATTTTAGCTCGCGGTGATTGCGTCACTATGCGCCGCGAAAGAACGCGAAGTCACGCGTTACGGGCAGTCTATTCCTCGAAATCTTTCTTTCGACGTAGTTCTTCTTCTTTCCGTCGAAAGTCGTAATTTCTTCTTCGACCGTCGACAATCTCGCAACGCAAAGAGCAAGAGCGTCGCGATTAAATGTAAACGCGACTAATAGGACTGGGGCGAAAGCCCGGTAAAAATCCGGGCCTTGAAAAGGAAAATTCCTAATTAACGAGCCGGATAGAGGTACGGGCTGGCTGTTAATTATCGGGCTGCACGGTCGATCCGCGTTTATGAACGCGGGGCATAAACGCCGTCCGATCGACAGAGAGCGCGGGCACAGAGGCGTGCACGCACGTTGACTTCGCTCCGGCCTTCCTCTCCTTTTCCCACGCCACACGTCTTTAGCTCGCGCTAATGGCTATCGGGTGAGAGCTTTTGAAAGCTCTCGGCCGCTGCCTCCTGGTAAAAGTCGATCGGCCGTAATCCGTTTTCTCGCACGGCCGAATAATATCACGCGGCGATCGATCCGCGCTCGCCCCTCCTCTGGCCCATAAATTACAAGTTTCGGCGCATAAAAAAACAGCACTATGAAAGTGATTTGCGGCAAGACTCGGAGAAATCCGTCCCCGTCGTCTCCGTGCCCTTCCTGCCGCCGGGAACCGCGGGCGGTGGGGCGGCTTTGAAATAATGTATGAAATCATCGACGAATGCGAGAGCGCGCCGCGCCAGCGCCCGTTCTCCATATGCAGCTGCTAGCAATAAGGAGGTGAAACGGTTTGCGTAACAGACGGGCATTAGCGGAATATTTATAACATTAATCGGTTGAGCCGGGCTGATTACGCGGACACCGATCCCCGTTAATCCGATTTCGTCCCCAATCTTCGTGCCTCCGTATGTTTTATTATCTCGATCGCGACGCAAAAACATATATATATATATATACGTATATATGTCGTCCTCTGTGAAATTTAGGTTGCTTTCCTCGATGTGGTTTATCCTCGACATTCCGCCGATAAATCTCCATCGGCTTTCGAACCTTGAGAGAAAAGGACCAGCCGAGTTGACGAACTCGATGCATGTACGTACGTGCAAATACTCGTTGCCGCATACTCGATCTTGTTGTCAATGGTAATACAGACAAAGTATACAAAAATTCGATAGTAATTCTCCGTTACACGGAATTTAAGAACTCCGTGTCTGACTCGAACGTAGCCGAATAACAAACGTCGTTATAATACGTATCATCTCGATGCCAGCGAAGCTTTCAACAACTGGGAAAGAAAGGAAGGAAGATCGTAAAAAGCAATCACTTGCCGACCGATTTATGTACGTTGAAACGCGATTGACCGTGCACACGCAGCTTCCAATAGGAAAGTCGATGACGCTCGAAACACGCCGGGATTTATACCGGATGCCGGCAATATCCTGAACAGAAATATGGAATGCGGGAGACTACCGTGCGCCAACGATCGGCCCGTTCAATGAGGGAAGACAATGGAGGGCTTGATTTATGAGGGCATTACCGACAACCCACGTACGTGCTTAGATCTACATATTATACCAATATTCTCGATGTTTACTGGCCGGGCACTACCGCTATTCTCGTACACGACGCGATTCAGAGGTTAGCCGCATCCTCCTATCCGGACAGTCAACCGGTACACGCTGTCCCGCACGAATATTCAGAGGATTCTCTCGGGTAATCCGTTGCCGACGTCTCTCTCGTGACCGTTCGAGAGGGCTCTGACGATCCTGAGAATTCTTTCTGAACTTGTTGCTCCTCTGTATGCTCTTCTGAGAATCCTTCGTCTTTTTTTTTTTTTTTTTTCTTTTTCTTGGTATGTACTCTAGAAACGCGATTCAAGAAAAGGCATTGACATTTTTTCGGAGCCTGTTGCTGGACTACGAATTTTTATGTGTTTACGAGAAATTTCAAAAATACAGTACACAATATAGCAATATTCGTAAGTAATAAAATTGAATGAAACAAGACGTATAAATAGAAGGACATCATCATGTCTATGCTGTCAGGGTCGCTTCTGTCGTCGTCTAGACTCTAGAATCTCGTTCGCGTTAATTATTAAATTTTCAAGTTCAAGGTCATATCATATCAAACATATCTGAATATTTTTTTATGAACTACGTCGATGGGATAAAAAAAAATACACAAAGTGAAAAGACATTTTTAAACAGTTTTTCCATCCAATTCGTCCCTTCAACCAATTCAAATTACGTCGGCGAACGATTTTCGTCTCTATCATCAATAGAAAAGATATTCAGGTGGCCCGATTTTTGGCGAACCACATCTTGCACGTGTTACAAAAGAAAGTATTTTTCTGCGTGAAACTTTCGACGCCAAGTGAGTGTCGCTTCCCTCAGTCACACCCTGACGCATTCCGCGCTGCATTTGGTACGTACCACGAGTGGAAGAGCCGCGGCGACATTTTTCTTTTCGTTCATCCCGCCCACGAGGACAGGACGATAAATCATGAACGGTACGAAAAGGGGGGAAAAAAGGCGAACGACGCGCACGGAGGGGAAGCCATAAATATTATGTCAGTGCATCGGCACGTTGTATCAAACGTTGAGTCATTGGCGAAACGGGACGGGTCGTAAAACGAGAGGAAAAAGAACGGAAGTGAAGCAGGTCCTTGGACGTAAATCACGGGAACGCGGTTAACGCAATAAGGAGGATATAATGATGACATATATCATCGTACTAGTAGTAGGATCGCGATACGATCACGCTAAAGAAATGACCGGAGCTGCCCTCCTTCCAACCGTTTCGTACGATTATAATCGAACTCGACTCGTCCGAATATGTCGTTAAAAATAACTCGAGTCTGTCCCGGTGCAACGTGACTTTTTTCTCGAATCACTCCGAAATCGACTTTTAGGCCCGAGGTTCGGCACGTTCTCGGTGAAAATCGGTTATTCGATTCGAATAGGAAAATCTCAGGAGTTTCAAATCGGAGTTTGATTCGATCAAACTGGATGAACGTTGATAAATTTAATTTTATATAATACACTGGGAAATTTTAGGGATAATGCAAAAATAATCAAAGTTCACTTAAGATTGAAAAAAAAAAAAAAAAAAACGGAGAAATAGAGAAAAGAAAAACAAGCAGTAAAAATATAAATATCTGTCAATGAAACAAGTAGGATGGACGGACGGACTTCGTATCGCGAAGATTTACACGTGCGAATCAGTGCGCCAATTATCCGCGAAGCATCTAAACTCGATTGCGTATATCAAGGCTCGTTCGCTGTACATACGCTCATTTCGAGCACGAGCATCGTAACAGAGGAATAATTAGCGATGCTCGAGCAGAGAGCCACACGCGTGCCAAGGCGACTTAAT